TGATTAATTTTATAATTCAGTGTTCTTAACAATGAAAATAACAAGATTACTAGAATTTATTACAAAATGTCGAATTATGTTAATGAAATCGAAACCAGATTCAGTAATATTCCAGAAATAATTAACCTAAATTTTGATATAATATATAAACAAATAATTCAAATAATGAATGATTACACTCCAAAAATGTCAACGTCTTTCAGGGATACGTGAATCTTTTAACATCTCCCGAATACTCCAAAACGACTCATCTCAAGATTATAGAAATATTTTAAACAGTCTGAACTGAATAAAAAAGATCTCTACAGTCTGTATAACTTTTTCATTGAAATCACAAAAATGTTGTAAATCTGAGCCAGTATATTAAATATTACCAACATTGTACATCTGACTGTTAATGTAAATAATATTATTATAACTATCAAATTGTTTGATACTGATATCCTGTATATTATGCAAATATTACTAAAAATTTATAATATCCCATTGTATGGCCCCCTGCAACTGGGACACTTCCCTTTATGCTAATAAAGATTATTATTATTATTATTATTAATAAAATCAAGCAATCAGTTATTACACGAATATTTATAAAATTATTTTCTAAAATAACTTAAAATAGATATATAGAGGGTGGTCTATTTTAATCAATCCAGTGAAACATCTCAAAAAATACACAACTTACAAAAAATTCATTGAACTAAAAACATCAGACTTCAAGGATATCACAAGATGAAGCTATCGATTTTATAATAGTTGACGCTACAATAAGTGAAAATGAGATCAACTTCATTTTCTTATGCAGGAACCCACATTTTTTAATGGATACAATAATTCTTCACCAAAAATAAAGGAAACTTTTATCCAAAACATTTTTTCAAAACAATATCAGAAGTTATAGATAATAGCGAGGTTGAGGACAAAGTTTTTAATTAAAACGCGAAAACGTGTACGTCAGACGTTCAGCGCAGCTTTCCTGTAAGCCTAGAAGTTTGACAGTGGTGTTTGGAATGTCGAGCATGATTCCACTGACTATCCAAACACCATTGTCAAACTTCTAGGCTTACAGGAAAGCGGTGCTGAACGTCCGACGTACACGTTTTTGCATTTAAAACTTCGGCCTCAACCTCGCTATTTAAAGTTTTATGCTGCTGTACACTGTGCACACGTGAATCTCTGGATATCCGTGAAGTTCATTGGGAAAAAATCATTAAGAAACTATTATTATTTGATGGAATTATTCTTTTTCTTTAAAGAACAAATGGATTCAAAAACTAGTGCTGAGCATGTTAGTGGTCAAGCTTATGATTAAAAAAAACATTGATCTTGATTCCCCTGAATAATGGTAGTTTCCTAATAAGTTTTTAAAGCATTTTGTTTCTTTTTTCAGTGAATTTCACAGACATCCGCAGTTTCATGCATACATGGTGTGGCAGCCAAATAAAATTTCAAATGCTCATAACTTCTACTAAGTGCATTTTTTAAAAAATGCTTTAGATAAAAATTTCTTCATTTTTGATGTAGAATCATAATATAGAATAGAAAAAGAAAGTTGACCCTGTTTTCACTAATTGTGGTCCCATCTTGTGACCTTTTGAAGTCTAACACTTTTGGTTTAATGAGTTTTTCTGTAGGATGAGTACTTTTTGTTATTTCAGTGGATTGATTAAAATGGACAACCTTTTATATTAAAATGAACAATCTAGAATTTCAATCAAACTTTTACCATAAATCCGATTAAAACTTTCTTCAGTTTTTTTGAATGAGGCAAATCATTTTTGATTCTGATTAATTTTTGTTTTCAGCAACTTTTTATTACTTTAATAAATAACTCCTACAAGTACGCCGGGTTGTATAAACAAAATTACGACTTACTTAAGCCTGAAAACCTGAGGAAGAACATGGAAGGTGTTCCGAAAACGTTTGTGCGTTAATATTTTACGATTTCGCATCGGTTACAGGCTTAAGTAAGTCGTAATTTTGTTTTTTTTATTACTTTTAATCATTATTTCAAATTCAGAGAATACTCGCCCAGTTCAATACAGTCGACCCCCTATAACACTGTTGATTATTCCATTTTATACGAATTCCATGTAGTACGAGTCACTTAGATTTTACAAATACGTGAGCCGTTCACAGCCTGGCACACGTATTTGTAAAATCTAAGTGACTCGTACAACATGAAATTCGTATAAAACAGAATAATCAACAATGTTATGGGGGATCGACTGTAATTAAAAAACTACTGACAAGATATTACCAATGATCAAAATTAAGATTGTTCACATTACTCCATATTTCAATTAATGAATGCAATAATCAAGTAAAAAAAACATCAATTTTTATATATTTGTATTTAACTATTGTAAACTTAAATTCTTATTTCAGTTTACAATATTGAATGTTATATTTATTATTAATTTTTTTAATGTTGTATGTATATATATACATATATATATATATAATTTTAATACTCTGAGTATGAAATTGCAAAAATTAAGCTTCTAATGTAATATTCTTATCATTACAACATGAAATTTAAAACATTCTTTTTCTAAGTAGCATACGGTTTCCACAATTTTCTTTTACAAATTTAAATAATATTTGTGTACTCGTTATGACTCATATGTTACCTTTTAACTTAAAATATGACTGATTATAAATATATAATTTCTTAATTATAAACTTCACTTTAAAATTTAATAAATATAGAAACATTAACGCATCAGAGTTAAATCAAAATTTATATTTCATTCAATTAAATTTTAAAATTTATTGGTATATTTGTTTGAATAAATTTAAAATTTCAAAATTCATGTTAAATTGTTATCAGATGCTTCTAAGAAATGACACAGAAATTCTAGAATCAATGGCAACTGCTAGCTTCAAATGGTTCTTCAAAGCCAATAAATCAAATTCATTACCTGGACATTGTCTTTTCAATCTTTGATGCTTTGGTAATATAATTTAAAACAGTATTGCATTCATTTACTTTATAAGAAAAATTTTCTTCTCTATCAAATTTAATCATAAATTAATTCTTATTTTATATGTATAATACCTTTTAGATCATAGGTTTAAAAAGGATATGGGCTTTTGGAAAACAGTGGGAAGAAGGTACCTGAATGGAAGGAATTCTGATGGAAGGAGGCAGGCCGACAAACTTCTGTACCATGACGACTGACCTCAGGCCTTCTCCTGACCACATTTTCATTTTCTATATGATTAAAACTTGCAGATCTTGTAACCAGAGTATGATAAGGGGAAGTGTGGGATTTAATGATACCACCACCATTCCCATTAATGCCAGAATTAACTTCACTATTGCCTGCAATTATTTCTGAGACTGCAGTTTCCTTCATGGAAGCATTGTTATGAGATGTAGGATTAGATTCGTTTTTATCACTAAGACAAGGAATACAATGCAAATAGGGAAAGCGATGGGTAGCAGCAGGAGAGGAAGAAGCTGGTGGAACAGAGTTAAGTAAATGATAGTCTGAGCCAGAGATTAGATGAAACTCACTGTTAGTCTGGTCTGTTTCAAGCTGCCCCTTTGAATTGGTGTTGGCAGTGTTGTTCCTGTTGGCCTGTGGACTTTCTGTTTGGTCAGGTTGGTTCCAGTCACTTTGTTGCTGCCAGGAACTAGTATTGCTGTGCATATGTATATCACTACCTGATACTAAGAAGATTAATAAGCATTAATACGAAATTATTTAAAATATCTCTCTTTGATCAGTATATAAACATGTAAACTTATAACAATTAATAATTTAAATCTGTAATTAAGATAGTGATCCAATATTAATATAAAGAAAAATTATAATCAATAAGAAAATATTTCCATTGTGAAAATTAGTATTAAAAGTAGTAAAAATATTATATTTAAGAATATTAATTATTTGATTTCATGTAAGATGTTCTATCAAAACAGGGTAATATTCATGTTACCATTACATTTAAATAAATAAGAAGTACTTTATAGTAAAATATAATTAACAATTCCGATAAGTATTTGACTTGCATTAAACATTTTTATTTTAATCTGTTAGATGTAATCCTTTTCTAAATTATCTAATATTTTCTCAACATGTTTTTATAAAAAAAATAATATCAGTTACATTTAAGCAAAAAACCCATTAAATAAGTGTTAACAACTTTTAGAATCAAAATAAATATTGACTACATACAGAAAGCTCTATTTATTCTTAATAAATCTTAGCATCTCATGAAGTTTCTTTTAATAGCAATTATCAATAGCATTTGCCTATTATCATTACTTTTCAGACGAACATTACTAACTGATTTTGTATATCTCAAATTAAAAAACTAGCTGCATATGCTCAGTGTTGCTAGAGCTCTTGAGGAGGTGTGGGATTGGTGAAACTGACAAAAACAACGATCTTAGTAACTAAAATGTTCATTTATAATAAATGTATTTATAATAATGAAACTGAAAACACAAAAAAAAAAAATTTCTGAGGCTAAAGTAAATGGGAGTGGGACCCTGACATGTTTGTCCTATAGACTCAACATTGTACTGTACATTTGCCACTTCCCCATGCCTGAACCATTGCACCCTTCTCAAATCTGTCTTCAGCAGCATTATCTACAGGATAAGTACTTTAATTTCATACCTGAACTATTTTTAGCCCCAGCCATTAACTCAAACTAAGTCAGACAAACTGAAACCTCCTTTCAAGTAATACATAGATGCAATACTGAATGAATTCAAATTCTGTAATTATTATTTTACAAATTTTAAAGTAAAATTTATTACGCATTACTTACTGTCATGAGTCAACCTTTTAGCTTGTAAAACAGGATTTTCATATTGTGTTTTTCTATTTACATGGCTGAAATAATATAAAGCATTACATTAGATATTAATTTTTGATAGTTCTGTATAAATTTTATATTATATATTTTAATAAATAAATAAAATTATTATACAATAATCATTATAAACATCCAATTTAACATGGTTAACATGTAGGTACTATTGCTGATCTAACAGACAAATAATTAAAGTAATTTTTCAAGTTTCTCACATACCTTACAGTGACTAGCAAAGTTGCGGCTGACGTTTTCATTTCTAAAACATGAACGACGGCCTCAACCTCGCTAATATGTATACACATATAAACAAATGCACTCAACATATAAGATAGAGTCAAAACTAAACAGGAAAATAACAATAATTTTTTTGAAAGAATAAACATAATAAGTGCAAATACTGTACATTTCCTTCAAAACAATGACCATTTACTATCATACAAACTTTTGCCAATTTCAATGCCATAACCAGAAGCAATTCTGAAATGCATTTTTGGACACATGTCAGATAGCTTGTATTGCACCACTCTTAACTTCTTGTGACACTTATTCAAATGTTTCTTTAACCTTAGGAAGAGAAAAATTCTGCTGAAGCCAGATGATCAATCAAGAGAGAGAATGGCTGTCAGAGCACAAAAATCCTGTTTTTGTCAGATACTTGTTGGACTTCAAAGGTTTGATACATGAAATTATAATGGGGGCTTTTATTTATTGATTCAATGTGAAACATTGCGGGTTAAATTGTCTAATGATTACATTCCCTTCTGAACCCTATCAATAATTTCTGTCTTACACACTGCCACTGATCTGCCTGGATATCAGTCATCTTCCAATCTTCCATACTTCTTTTTGAATATCTTGAATCACTCACACATTTGGGGCCTTGGCATATAATCTTTATCATATACAAATCTTATGTTAATCTACAGTATTTCATTGTCAATATTTCAAAATTCAGAAGCAGCCATCTGACATATTTTACCAAGGTAATATCTCCACATTTCAATATTCTTGTTAAATGCAAAACAGAGGCATAGCCTATATTAAAAGATCGTCTGTGGAAAAAAAATGTTAATATTTTCTGACGACTGAATATGGCAGAAAGGAGACGATTTAGTTTTTCCACATTTTTAATTAAAATTGTCAAAACATGTTCATGTTGTATATATATAATAATAATAATAATAATAATAATAAACTTTTAACTGTAACCCATACAACAATCAAACTGCTGATGTTACCAACTATTATTGTAATTTCCTCTCCAAGTGTAAGTATAAGTATTTATATACAAACACTGTGTTGTCCATAAACCTATCAGTTACTACAATAATTGGTTGAAATTTTTTCCACTAAAATATGTTATTAAAATTTATTAAATATTTTTATTCTTAATAAATTACATAATTTATATGATTAGTAATATGTTAATGATTTATTAATTTGCTACTATTTCAAAAGATATATCAAACTACAATTATTTAATTTGAAAGTGACTAATCAATTTCTTTATTAAACCAATATGTACTGTACATTGAAGAAGAAGGGGTAAAAAAAGGACAAAATATTTAAACTTGGCATCCTTCAAAACCACTTAAAACATATTTTGTGTAGGCTGGTACCTTGTGTAATTTTCCTATACGAATTCCACCATACCGCTGGTCTGATAGAAAGAAGTTACCATTGTAGAAGGGGGTTGAAGTAATTCAACCGATAGTAGTCGTTCACAGGGCAACACTTTCAGTTCCGTGCAGGCAAGTATATGTGCTACCTGTTGCAGTAATAATATAGCACATCTAATTTGTACTGTATCATTGTAGCAATAATTAATTAAGTGAATATAATATATATTTTTTAAAATTATATCCATTTTACAAATTATATTTATTTTATTATTTTCTTAAAATTTTTCCCAATATACAAGGGTTGTTCAAAAAGTTCCTGAACTTTATTTATTATATAAAAAATACTTCACTTACAATTTATTTGTCAGAGTCCCCTCCCCAACATACACACTTATCCCAATGGTGTTTCCATTTTTTGAAACAGTCCTGGAACACTTTTTCCGGAATGCTCATAAGCTCCTCCGTCATTTTTTTCTATCTCTGAAATGGTGGCAAATCTTTTTCCTTTGAGCATGTTTTTTAGTTTGGGAACAGGAAAAAGTCACATAGGGCCAGAACTTGTCAGGTAAGTAGGGTGGGTGGGAAAGCACAGCAGTCTTGTTTTGGCCAAAAACTCACAAGTTCTGAGAGATAAATGAGCTGGTGCGTTGTCGTGGTGAAAAAACCACTCGCCGCTCCTCTAAAGTTTGGGCTGTTTTCGCCTGATTCTGTCTCTTAGGCGTTCATAACCCCCAGATTATACTCTGTGTTTATTGTGTGACCTGTAGGCAGGTTTTCATGATGCACAACCCCCTTTGCATCGAAAAAAACAGTCAACATCACCTTAACATTTGAGTGAACTTGTCAAGCTTTTTTGGGGTGGGGGATGTTTCACCCACCCATGGGAAGTTTCCGTGAAGGATTTAACGAGTTTCACACAAAATTTTACAGGACAACACTGCTCCTTCAAAGAGCGCATTTCTGCAGATCCAATTTTTCGCTGAACCCACACCACAAATGCCCCTTCACATAAATGGCCGTAACTAATCACCAAAACAAGATATCAACAAATGGAGTGAAGAAGGTTACTCAAGAGGTTTCCGTGGACACAACGCATCCAAGCGGATTAAAAAATAACTAACTGGATGCATGCTATTCAAAAAGTTCAGGCACTTTTTTAACAACCCACATATGGCGCTATGTGTAAATCCAGCAAATTGAATATAGACAGAAATTATTTGATATATTGAAATCCAATCAATATTTTGGGGTGATATTTATGACACTATCTAAGTTAGAAGTATGTTAACGTAAATGCTGAGTTTCGTAGCAATTGGTCAAACGGCCTAAAAGTGCATAGCGAACAAACAAACATACATCCTCATCTATATATACAGATTAAATCTCTTCATTTAAATTCATTAAATATATTAGCAGTTATTAGTAGTTTATTTATAAGTATGTTTATTTTGTGCATTTCAGTATCAAATTTCTTATACTAATTACATGTTCAAAAAATATTCTAAATTATGTTTATTTTTTTGTTTTGTCTGTACTTCAGTATTTTGAAAAATTTTCCTTTATTCTCTAACAAGCTAAATTTGATATCAGTTTCTTTCAGTCATTTGATAGAAATTAAAAGCTTTTGTAAATATATACTCATACATCTCTTATAAAACATTTATTACTTGAAAATATAATTTTATTTAGTCAATTAATTTTCTTAATTTTTAAGTTTTTCTATTCCTGGAGACCATCTGAACTCCAAATCAATTTTTCCCATTAGAAATAACGGAAGTGAATTAATCCATTCCCAGGCCATAAATAACCATTTTGGTAAACTTAAAACAGGAAATACACATAATTAAATACCCTAATAATAATAATATTATATGTAAATACTGCATAATAAAATAAAAATTGCATTAACTGGTTGCAACCATTGACTCTGTCATCTAAAGTATGGCTGTCAGATCTTCCATACATGGCCTTTAGGTTGCCAGATGTCCTGATTTTCTGGGATTGTCCCAAATTTTTCCCAACTGTCATCTAGTGACATGAGGACTTCATTATAGGGACAGTTTTTAGAATAAAATGTCATTTTCTTTTCCACAATTCTGTATTTCTGAAACTAGCAGAGTAAAAATACACATATATATTGCATTCCCTGGAATTGAATATTCTCAAAAGATCAGTATCTTTTGAGAACTCATTTTGACTCCAAGTATCTAGCAAATGCAACTGCTTTCATGCTTTGTGATAAGTTCTTTTTTTATTTCAATCATTAATATTATAGCCTTCCTCTTAGACTTTGTTGGTATAGTAAGTAAAGGTTATATTAGGTTGAATAGAAAGTTTTTGCATACTTTTTAATGGCTGTCATTACTTAACACAAATGACTGATTTATTTGTAACAGTTGCAAAATTTAATGCATTATTGCTAATGTGAGATTAAATTCTTTGTTTAGAAATTTATATTAAACGTTTTACTTCACATTTTGTTTGAATAAAATAGAGTTAAAATGTCTTCAGATAAAAAGATACAGTGAAAACTGCTTAGGCAACCACCTGCATTCGACGGGCACCTGTCAAAACGGGCAAAAATTTCTGGCACGGAATAGTTTATCCATAGAGTCTTCGTATAAGTTACCTGTATTAAACGACCACCTGTGTAACGCGACCGCGGGCATCGATTTTTGGTCCGAAACAACATACAACACCTGTAATAAGCGACCACTTTCGCGAATGTATCTGGTCTAAACTATTGTAAGAACCCATCTCAACAACGTTTCCACCTCCTAATATAATGAATTAGTCTAAACTCTCGTTCGAACCCATCCCGGGCACTTCTCCCACCCTTGAAATTAGGTGCAGGTGTTAATAAATTAGTCTAGCAACAAAGGAAATTCATTTCAGTTTGTTGGAAAATGTCCGAAATGCAAAGTGCTGTCGTTAGAAGATCGTATTAAAGTTATCACAACAGCAATTAGCGGCGAAGTTTAACTGTGGGAAAACAAAATTTATTTTACCCTAGACCTACAGTATTTTCCTTGGGGGTGTAAAATATTGTACACGATACAATTAATCGGCTGATCTCATCGTTTGATAAAATCTATTTTTATTTATTTATTTTGAAGCTCATATACAGTACACGTGCGATAAATAGTTTCTGTATCAACCTACCTTATTTCCACGATATTTTTAGAAAAATAATATCCAAGTAATTTTCGCAGGCAAAATATTCAAAAAACAATAAACGCATTAATGCAAAAATCAGTTTTACTTCCTTTTTCGATTCCGCGATTGTAATGAAATCGTATAATGAGAAAAAATAATAAAATCGTTTTATTATTAATTAATAATTTTTCTTATTTTAATTAAGAAAATATTAAATATTAAAAAATACAGTATTTTTAAAGTTAAAATAAGATTAAACTAACGAAAACCAAAAGCAAAGTGATGGAGAGATAGGACGCGCTTGTATATTGATGACGTAATACACGTAACTGAGGAGCGAACGAAAAGAACCGAGTCGAATTAATTAAGTCGGAAAAAAGAAAGTGTGCATTATAATCGAGAAAATGCGAGTATTGTATTAATCTTTAAAATATTGGTGTTAAATCTGTCTTATAATATCATGACGACTCCTGTAAATCGGGTTATCCGATAAGAATAAAATACAATACCAATATAGCCCTATCGTTGAAAAAATTCGCTTATTTTTGCTCACCTCGAGTTTTGCTTAGTAGATATGGCTAAAAAGAGCGCAAGATACGTACGGAAATACGGTATTACAGCACCACCTGTATTGGACGACCACCTGTCTAAAAGACCACTTTTTGAAGGAACCGTGGGTGGTCGCCGTAGACAGGTTTTACTGTATATCAGGTATTTTATGCTTTACGAGTTTTGTAAAAGATATAATGCCATACAAACAGTAAAAAATAAAAAAAATTTGTAATATCTGTGGGAAGATGCTCCTAAACTTTGAACATGCCAAATGTGGTTTTAGAAAGTTCTAGAGTTAAAGGATACAAAGTGTATGAGATGTCCAAGAGCTGTTGACAAAGAAGACTGAAGAAATAAATTGTTAAAAATCGTCAAATAACACACAATACATATAACCAAACGCACAAAAAATAAAGAAAAAAAAAAAAACACTGAAAGCACAACATAACGCAAGCACGTACAGCACAAAGTAGGAGCGAGAGATAACATGGCCTCACAACAGATTTAATTTACATTTTGAGTGCTTTTTCACTGTTCATCCAGTTCAAACTCTGAAGCATAATTCAAAGTCCAAGGAAAATTTTTGTCAAATTTAGCATTTAAACTCTGAAGCATTCAAAGTACAAGGTACCACTGACATTGTTTCAAACACAGATTAAATGAGGTTTTGAAAATGTTTATGTAATTAATTTTTGACCTTTATAATTTAAGATTATGATTATATTGTAAGATTATGATAAGATTACAATTAAGAAGAAATGTAATCTGCTAAATTATAATTAATTGTACCCAAGAACTATATTCTTAACAACAGAAAGCAAATAAATAAATTGTTTAACATATACAAATGAAAAAAATGTTGGAGGTATTTTTATAAATGCTTATGAAAGTGATTTTCAATACATATTTATGCATTAAATACTTACTCTATATAATATGTTCCATAATGAGGATCGTCAATTCTTTCCCATCCAAATGGAAGCTCTGAAAGAATTATATGATTATTAGTACATTAGTAATTGCTCTTATATTAAACATTTCAGTAAAATTATTTTTGAAGAATTCAAAAAATATTTTTAAATTTATACAATTTACATATATACAGTAATTTAAATATATATATAAGAAAATTATTAAATTATATTAAAATTTCAGACCGTCGTCATCGCATTCTTCTATTGCTTTTTTCTGTATCCTGGCCATTCTAGGATCTAACCACTGTGATGTACCAGAATTATGACTGTAAAAAAACATTTTAGCATTAAATATTTTCAAAATAATTGCAATATATTCTATTATTAATAATATTCTTCTAAGTTGTAAAAAGCAATTTATGAATACTTTATTATTCTCTTATTGGAAACAAAAAAAATTCATTGTTTTATTTTAAATTGCATGGCTTTCCCTGACTTCTCCTGAGCAACTATGTACAAATTCCCTGACCCTCACGTCCCTTACAATATGGCAAATTGACAATAAAACAGCATTTGATTAACTACGTACGTATGCTATTGCTTCTCCAACTTTTAATTTGTTATTTTTCTTTTCTAATTAACAGTTATATATTTTTTATAATTGACAAATTATTAAAATTAAAATGTTTTATTAAATTAAACTTGAACTTTACGATTCATTTTGTACATGATATAAATAAAACAAAAAAGGACCATCCTATGATGGATATTTAAGTTATGTACAGAAGATGCCAGATAGTTTTTTTTTTTAAATTGTAAAAACTCTTTTTTTAAAGTAGAAAAGTTGCCTATAAAGTAGCTAAACATTAAAAATAGTAAGTCAAGAGTAAAATGCATAAGATTACTGTACCAAAATAATAAAACAAATTGCAAGATCACATAAAAACTAACCCAATTTGAGATATTTTACCCAATCTGGCTATCCTAGTCACCAATTTCCAACCTCTTTTCTGCAGTTGAACGAAGTTCACGCTTTAAGAAGACATTAAAATTTATATTTTTTCTACTGAAAATGCAAACGGCCAACTCCACTCAAAGTAGTCTTTCCCCTTATCCTATATCTATGCATGTTTAAACAATGAAAACAAGCACTGAAAAACTCTCTCTACTAAAATCTCCAACTTGTATGCATACTAATTAAGAAAATTTGAAAATAATAAGTTAAATAGACTTAAATTTGGTTTTTTTAGTGAAGCAGAGTACTAAGATTATTCATAAGTTAAGTGTAAGCAGCTTCATCGTATCTGTGCTTTGAAGAATTTAATGTCTCCCTAAATGTTATTTTTCCAATAAACTTGAAATTAAAACTTCTCACGTTAATATATAGAAACATTAGAATCATCAAGTAAACAATTTAGTAAAGTAAATAATAAATCAATAAAATTTTAAAACAAATGCATTTATGTTGTTGGAATTTAACAGCAACTATGGTATGTGTAGATACATTATACGTAAATTTATTTTAATAATATACTTACTCAATAAAATAAACTTCACCATTTGGAGTATATGCTTTTTCCCAATTATCTGGCAATGGACCAAGATTAGAAAGTGGAGAAACATCTTCATTTTTATTTAAATTACCAGAATTTCTTCTAGCACTCCATGCTGATAACGGTGTGGAAGACCTACAATTCATTTTATATAACGATGTACGAATGTATATTAAAATCATTAGAACAGATTTTCAATAATTTATAGTTACTGATAAATGATCAAACAATACAGAGGTATGTTTTCTTTATTGATAAAATAGTCCAATGTGCTTGTTATTTTAATATATATAATATTTAATTTACTATAAGTAATGACTAAAATATGTTTAGAATTTGAAAAATTTATAACAATTTATGAAGCTTGGCACTGTGTTGTGAATTACCGAAATTAAACTGCTATAAATGTTTCCACATAAATAATATTTCAGTTGCGTTAAAATAACAGTTTCATCCCAATAATTTGAAAAAATTTATATTGCATTATGAATTTAAGTTCAACAGAAATAATGATTATTCTAATAAGGGGAAGACTAGAAGTGGAAGCACAGATTTTGGACAGGAATAGGTTTAAAATGTAGAGTTTGGCAAATGTAATAAAACCTACATGGCTAGTTGTAGATGGGCTTTTGTTTCTTTGTAAAATGGATTTAAACGTTAGAACGTATGACGTATACTGCTGATTTTAAGCCATCTTCAACATTTGTCATAGCTGTGAGTCAAGTGGCAAAAGCTTGCACAAAGGAAACTCAAGTTAAATTTCACGCAAATTCTCACCTTTTCTAAATTTGTTTAACACTATGTGCTTTAAATATTCTTCTGAATAACTCATTTTTACTTTTCTGGTCGTTAAGAGATTTTATTTAAAACATAACTTTTATATTATTAACCATANATTTCTTTGTTATTGAACGTAAATTTCTGTTAAATATTATTAAATAATTGTTTTACTAATTGCTTACGCAATCCATAAAACCAAAATAAAATACGAGCAATTACTTACTAGAATATTTTCATGATAACAGACTGAAATTTTTATCATATTTTAATTTTAAAAAACACGTGTTTTTCGGTTCACACCGGACGTTTATATGTAGTTAATCGTGCTCTTAATTAGTTGTAATAATTAATTATTACAAAATGGCAAAATGCTTAATTCTGAGGATATAGATGAGTTTTATAAGGAAAAATTATAACGAGTAAAATTGCCACGAAGTCAGATCCTCTTGAGAAATGACAGGTGACTCTCTCTCTCTACCCTCTTGACCTTTAACCACCAAAATTTAATAGCATCAATGCCTCTTATATAAGTTACCATGCCAAATTTTGTTTCTTAATCATTATCAGATCTTGAGATATTAAACAAAATAGATGACAACAAACATGTACACAGAATTTTTTTTTTTTTGCCTTTTTTTGGGTTGGGAGTCTAAAAACATGGAGATTTGCAAAAAAACTCGGAGATTTAAATTTTACACAATTTTAATACTTTCCTTTGTTATATAATCCTTTCCTGACATAACAGCCGGAAAAGTAAAAGTAAACAAAAAACCCAAAATCCAACCCGAGTGTTCTCCATGCAAATCCTTGACTCGTAGCTATGATAAATGTTGATGACGATTTACATTTAGTGGTATATATCATACATTCTAATGTTTCAATCCATTTTACAAAGAAATGAAAGCCCATTTACACCTAGTAATGTAGGGTTTTATTACACTTGCCAAACCCTACATTTTAAACCCAATCTGTCCAACTTCCACTTCTGGTCTCCTCCTTGTAACATGCATATTAAATCATCCTGTAGTTGATTTAATCTTTACTTTAGAAAAATAATCTTATATTTATTAATTATTGGTTTATAGTTGTCTGGCATTGAGACAAATCCATAAGATATATTACAAAAAGCAGAAATTCCAAATATAATCTTGTTAGATCTTTATATGAACAATGGAAATGGACAAATTAATTCAACATCTTTTATATTCCAGCAAAAATAAGATTTAATTACCCTCATATAGATGTATATTTAAAATAACTGTAACAATAATCGTTAAAGAATTAAACTTTCAATACCTAATAATAAGTTATAACGCCAAGGATATTTAAAATGACACAATTACTTAATAGAAAAAATCATTGTCAAATCCCACATCAAAAAGAGAAAGCATTTTTAAAAAAAAAAGGAATCAGATCCAGTAATACATATCTCACTTTTACTTCCAGGCTGCTATGTTTTCTTTCCCTTGTTCCAATAATTCTCCTGTTATGTATATATAAAAAAAGGAAATTATTGGAATCGTGTCATATTTGACTCTCTGAGGTTCTTACAAATCTCCACGCTTTGAGACCATGCCTGAACTCAAAGAAGTAAATAAAAATTACATGTGTATGTGTGTGCTGGAATCTATTTCATTTAGTATCACAGGATGGGATGAAGATAAGGAAACAAAATTTGGCATGATACCTTGTGTATAAGGGACATTGATGCCATTAAATTTTGATGGTTAAAGGTCCAAGAGGTGGGGAGATTGAAGGGGGACCACGTGTCATATCTCAAGAGGGGTTGGACTTAATAAAGATTTTACTCATTACTAGCATTTACAAATTTTTATAAAACTCGTCCCTACTCTCAAAATTAAGTTTTTTTCCCATTTTATAATAATTAAAAATATAAAAATTTTAAAATAAAATCTCATAACAGATAAAACTGACATAACTACGCGGTAAGTCACAAACACCGACAAACAAAATGGAAGTTTTGGTTAGAAATAAATACAATACTTTTTCTTGCGATATATCTAATAATAGACAGATGTCATCGTCTCTCGAAATATCTTTATTTCGCTTATATCTTTGTAAATATCTTTTTTATTTCACTGTCGATAGCCCGACACGTGTTCCACAGCCATCTTGTATTTTCTCACATGCGTGAGATTATAGGATCTCTCTTATGACTGGATCTAGTTTCAAGAACTCTCTTGAGTCGATCGCGATTAAACCTCATTTCAGTCGAGATTGAAACGGTCGAGGGAGGTCACACCAAGGCGAACGGAGTATAACGCTTTAGTTTAGTAGTGTTACAGAGTATAATACATATATTTTAATATATTTTTTAAAAGAAACAATATCACTGAGAAATGTTACGTGTATTTAACAAGGTTCGGAAAACTTTGAAAATGTTAACAATGGGTTCGGCCGAACCTGTGCGAACCCGCTGAATATCACCACTGCTTACATTGCATATTCAAATTTCAAACCACATGTAAGCACCTAAAAGACTAACATCCAATAAATTTATGCATAGCATGACTTTGAATATGCAACATAAATAAGTTTATTGTTTTTAACTTTGAGAGTCATTATTCACTCAACACCCAAAGATACTATTGTTTTGTTGAGTTTGTCACCTTCAATCTTTTGAGAAGTAGCGTAAACAGTGAAAAGAAAGAAAATGGTTGCTACGAGGGAGAAGAAATTAAAAATATAAATTAAAATGTATATAAACTGTGTTATTTATTTTCTTAACATATTTTCTGTATTATCCAGATTTTCGGTCATCTGGATAATCCAGTCTCATTTGAGCCACATAAACAGGGTTCCACTGTATTCCCATTTACTCATACATGAAAGTTATCACACTATTATGACAAAACATTTTATGATAAAAGGTTCCCAATTTCTCCATTAAGTAGACAAAAGAATCAGCAACAGTGTCAATATGAATGCCACCTGTAACATTTTCTCAACTTTTCCCTTTTTCTGCATTAATACTTTCATAACCATCTAACCTGCCAAAGTGAAAAATTCTGGCTAGTATCATCTCAATACACTTTAGACAGGTTACTGTATAATGAATATAACAATATAATATTGAGAGAAAGTACTGGGTGATAATAATTCAAAATAAGAGAAGATTTTTTCCAGAATTCTAAAAACCGAGTCAATGTAATGAAATTAACTGTAAAACTGAAGCGTTCCAATTCTAAAAAACCGTAGACCTTACATTAGTCTTTATATGAGTAAACAAGTAGTGGAGTTTTATTTTAGAAGGTACTTTGAAGAATTATTAATATAAAACTGAAGACATCAAGAATATACGAAATCACAGAAAACAAATAAGATACGGTCTAAGACTACTACTACAAATAAGACATCACAATTTTTGAAAATTAAAAAAAAAAAAAAAGCCGTAATAATAAGAAAGAACTTGTCTATAAAAAAATTGAACAGGAAAATTCTTAAGAGAGGGAAAACAGAATGTTAATCAAAAGAGCAATATATAAAAAAAACAATAGCAAAATCAAAAGAATTAGAATCATTGACAAAACTGAAACCAGGAAGAAAACAAAACATGATGAAAGGCTATTATAAGACAAAAAATTAATTCTTAGAATACAAATCTTCAGAGAACTATTCAGAAAAACTATATACAATAAAGATATGATCATGATTACAAATGCAATATGAAAATAAGTAACAATTACAGATGATTCATGACAATAATACATATTGTTCAATTAAAACAATAAACANGTCTAGAGGTAGGCAGTTAAGCCATCTTATGCTAATTTTAATTTAGACTTTCTGGAAGAAAATTGGTCTGAAGCAGGACTTTGAACCCACTCCAAGGCTTTTCTGGTTTGTTTGGTTTTTTTTAATCGGTTTTCAATGAAAATTCAAACAAAAACTGAAATAAATGAATGAGTTATGCCAAGTGTTGATTATTACGCTGCATTGCGGTTTTGAAAAACTAATATAAAGATACAACATGGTTTTGAAATATGAAAAAAATTCAAACAGTTTTTTATTTATGGAAATTTCCATGTAATTTCCAGAAGTAATTTTTTAATACATATTTTACACAGCAGTATTATATTTTCTTTTCCTATCATTGAAGTTGCAGAACTTATTAAATTACTTTAAAAAATGGGAAATAATTATATCATTCCTTTCCAGGATATTTTATTTTTAAGAAATTCCAAATTTTTTAAATTGTATTTTGTGATTGAGGATTCCAGTAAATTCCAGGACATAGATCACTTTTTCTTGAAATCCTGGGATAAGCAAAAGACTGAGAAATGAGAAATCCTATTTAGCAGAGAATTTATCTTTTTAATTATAACAACATAAATAACTTTTGATATTTTTCATTAAAGTAAGATTTTTATAATGCTGTAGCTGGTTAAAATTATATGTATAATCATATATAATCTGTATTATATTTTATAATATAAAAATAATTTATTGTCCAATATTATCATCACCTATATCAAATATTAAATTTGTCTTATGATTTCACAACTATTCTTTCCAGTTAATGGATGATGCGAAAAAAAGAGCTAAAGAAAAACTTCAAATGCCACCAGTCATGAAAGAGAGAGAGCCTATTACAACTGTCATTTCATATGATCCTGAAATTCAAGGCTATACTGACTGTAAATATGTTTTTACTGATATCACTTACGGAATATCAGATAGGGTATGTTCAGAAAGTTTTTTATCAAATACAATATTAATTTAAAATATCTAATTAGCTTTTATGCCATATTTCTATTCAGAAAAGAATCATAGTTACAAGACATCCAGATGGAAAACTTTGCCATTCTTCATGGGAAGAGAGACATTGGATGAATCAGATTTATTTTCCTGTACCTGAGCGTACTTTAGAAATGCCAAAAATGTTTGAAGAGGAACATTTACAGGTATTTTAATACATTGATGTTTCAGGAGTTTGAGAATATCGGTGCTGCTCAAGGATATTTGGGGACCAAGGCATATGCCCTTGTAGTTTTTTCAGAGAATGTTAGTCAACTATCTTAGGTAAAATTAGATAACTAAAGAAATTCTAATTGAAATCATGCAATTGGCTTTATTATATTTATTTCTACGTTAAAGTAACAAAACTGATTGCTTTGATTTTAATGGAATGTTGCAGTACTATAAACACACTCCTGTGATGTTAGTTGACATAGATTTTTTGTAGTTTTCTTCTTTATAATGATTTTAATGACTTAATAGTTTGTATTTTCTATTTATTAATCTTAGAAATTTATTGAAAGTTTATTAATTTTTTTATAAATCTTGTTTAATTTAAATATTAGATACACACATATATATAAATAACAAAAAACTGACCTTGTATTAGGCTGCTGCCCTAATAAAGAACAATCAGAAGAGTCTGTTGGATCAACAGATTTTGCTGCCATTGCTTCTACATTAGAACGATTTCTTCTCCTTTTTCCTTCAGAAGAGGGATGTGCTCCAGGAAGAATAATTCCACTACTGTTTCCAATAGAATTTGTTCTTCTTGGAGGAGTTGTTGGAGTTTCTTTGTGTGGCTTAGGGGTACCATAATGATTGCCTGGCAAAGCAGATGCAGAGGAAGCAATAGTCACAAACAAAGAATTATCAGAAGACAACGAATCACATGACTCGCACAAATAATTTAAAGCGGTTCTATTTATATCACATTTATTAGAAGGAAATGAAATTTGATTTCTTAATAATTTGCAATTATTATTGTTGTCATATGTCATTTTATTATAATCAGGATTAAACTTATTACTATTTAATGAAAAAGAAGAAGACAGTCTTGACAGTATATCATCACAGTTATAGCTAGTTAAATTTGTACTGTTATGAATATTTTCATTAGAAATGTGTGTAGAGTTTTTGTTCTTATAGTTTTCATTATTAATGGTGTAATTTCCATTAATATATGGCTTTTCATTTTGAAGTTCATCAAATTTTAATGCACTTTTATTTTTTAAAGAGACATCTTCATTTTTTGGCACACTGTTTTCAATACTGTTGTTATACTTTTTGTGTGTTTTATGATTTTTGCAATCTTCTTTTCTAAATAAATAACCATTATTCTTTTGAGAGCTTTTATACTTTGTATAATTTCTTGAATGCTTATCACTAACTGCTTTGTATAACCGAGAAATATTGTGATCTAATAAACCATAATAATCTATTCCTCTATTATTTGATAAATATTTATCTTTATTTTGGTGCTGTTTGTATAAAACTTTTCTTTGGGGTATTTTTTGATACCTAACAGGAAAAGAACACGATCTCTTTAGGTAAATTGTATCGTTATTATCTGAATCAAAACTTTCATCTGCACTACTGTCACTTAAATTTTCTCTTCTATTCATTGCTTGCCTTAATGAATGTCTATTTTTCTTTACTTGAAAAGACTGATTGTCATAGAAAATTTGTTCATCGGGAGATATATCAGGGAAACCGGCAAGTGTTTCTTGAAATTTACTATAAAAAGCATTACATTCATCTAAATTATCATTTGTAAATTTTAAAGATAACATATTAGGATTAATTTTTGAATTTTTAAAGTTATCATTATCGATTATTTTTTTCATGTTGTTAATATCTAATGTGATATCGGTTTCTATGCCCACATCAATAGTTTTCTTATCGCCACCTTTAATATTTGATTCAGTCTGTGTTTCAACACTTATGGCATTTTGTGTAATGTCCCTTTTATTTGCTTTATGGTATTTTTTATGTGAACATTTTTCTACCGAGCAGTCACTAAATGTAGCAACGAGTGTATCGTCTGTAGAACTTTCACTATCGTTAATACTGGAAATTTCATCTTTTATTTTTTCAGTATCTATTGAAACTGTCTGTGCATCTAACTGTCCATTTTTTAAATTATTCCCATCTGTTTGTTTAGTATTACTTACATCTTCTGCAGAACTATTAGAATATTCGTATGTATTAGATGAATAATCTAAATTTTTTTGCTTGCAATTATTATTATCTGAAACAGAAAGATTAGCTATTCCATCACTAGTTACTGTATTTAAGTTATCAAAAGATTCATTCAAGTTATCATTGAATAATTGAAAAGAAGCTGAACTGTGCTCACATGTCACAGGATGAATTGACACATTAGAAAGATTGGCAGAGAAAGCAGAGGCAGCAGGGGCAGGCCTCGGAGTACCATACATATTTCCTAGACGATAGAAGAATTATTGAAATAAGTTAGTAGAAATTGTTTAAAACGTAAAGACGATTAATTAAAATTAAAGAATATCCAATTAGATTAAAATTTCATTTCAATTTTTTTAAAGCAGAAAGATTAAAAGAGTAGATAGTATATTAATATTAATAGTGAGATACAAGCTAAAATATAAACAGTTAGAAATAATTTTAAAATTAATGTGATTTATTCTTGATTAATTCTAAGTTGAAAATATAAAGTACCATATGTTAACAGTTATTACATAATGTATAGAATATAATAGTATCTCATTTGTTACTTTTGTGTATTATATATTTATATAATTGTGTGTTTCTACTCTACAAAGCACAGTTTAAATGTATACTGTGTTAGAAAAGAAACAATTGTCTTCCACTGGTTATTTTTTCTTTTAATAAAAAAATTGTATAGACAAAGATAATCATTTTATTTCAAATAATGTTAGTTGTCAAATATTTCATAGTGATTATTAATAAAGATACTTTTCTACTATTCTATTAACAATGATTAAATTTATCAAAATGCTATTCACGAGATACGCTACAGCTACTATTATATTACAAAGCCTGTATAGATTCAAATAAGTATCTATATAGAAACTTATAATACAAATCTTTGGGAATGATTTCTGATTAAATTAAAACAAAATACCTAGACAGATATTTTTCGAATGAAGCAATAATTATTAAGAAAAATACATTAAAAAATTATTTTGTTTTCTTTAAAAAGGAAACACCATTCCACATCTGGACACTTTTTGGTTTATAATCATTTGTTGTGAATTGAGACTATAGATAACAAATTTAATTATATGCTGTCACAGCACTGTCCATTGCTCAACTTTTGAAACTAGTTTCATAGGTATCAAAAGTGGGTTTCCCCAAAAAAACTTAACTTTTCAAGAACAGCAAATTGTCCAATTTTGGAGCAGGTTGATACACGACTGGACAGTGGCACTCCATCTTTGGATATAAAGATTTCAGGCCAAAGAAAATTCAAATATCATGCACATTTTATAAAAAGTTTAAAACTATCATTCTTGTATTTAAATAATTACAAAATGGCTTGAGAATCAAAGGAATGATACTCATTTGACAATATAAAAATTTTGCATGAATAATATCCAATTTTCACTTAAATGCATAAGCTACACATGTTAATTATAAAATGTTTTAATATTAACCAACACTGGCATAACCATCAAAGAAGATATTAAATAATATAAAAATATCTCTAACACTACATAAAGGACAAATAAACTGTGTGTATTGGTGGTAGCAGTTAGGCAAATATATCACTTGTCAACTAAATATTTCTTTTAATCTGTATTTGTAAATACCTATGAATGCTTTCTCCTTGGAGTTATGTGACCAACAACTTTGTCATCAGATGCAGATACATTCTATATTTCTATTCAGATAATACTTTGGCAATGGGAATTTGAAGTTCACTACCCACCTAGAAAACTTATTAATAATGTGAACTTCCCCAATTAATAGAAAGGTTGCGGCCAACGTTTTCATCACGAAAACGTGTACGTCAAACGTTCAGCACCGCCTTCCTGTAAGCCTAGAAGTTTGACAATGGCGTTTGATACGTCAAGCATGATTCCACTGACATTCCAAATGCCATTGTCAAACTTCTAGGCTTACAGGAAGGCGGCGCTGAACGTCCGACGTACAAATTTTCACAATGAAAATGTCGGCCGCAAACTCTCTATTAATGATTAATTTTTAACAGATTCAATATTGATGCAAACCTGTTGTAACAAACAATCCAGTCCACCAGTGGATACACTTCCACTACCTGGTAGGGGAATGTCTTGTATAGCAAAAAATTACTGTTTCCATAACAAGTGATTAGTGACAAAACTTATGATTTGAAAACAATTTGACATGACTCCAATAGGTACATTTCTTCATAGCTTAGTCTCTATTGGAATGTTGCAAAACATGCTTAGTAAGAAACTTACAAGCATCACCTGAGAAAGTTAAACAAGACCACTGAAACTGGTTTACCACTTCCTATGTCCACATAGTTACTCCCATCTTGCTGAACCACAGATTCAGTACATAAATTCCATTTAACAATAAACTCAGGAAATCTCTTGACAAGATATGCATTGCAAAATTTAAACTGTCCATTGGTGGATCTGTCACATATGAAATAATTATCCCTAAATTTATTCATATCTTATAATAATATTTTTTTCAAACAAACTATTAGTGTTCAATAATTTCATTATCTGAATTGAATCTAATTATTGAAATGCAAACTCTTATTATTTATTTAAAGGTTTTTCTGTATTTACAATTTCACAAGTAAAATTTAATTTATCACTTATTATCTCATAATTAATCTCACATCTGTTAATACTGCTAATAAATAAACTTTTATAATTAAGAATGAATTCATACATTCTAATCAATTTAATTTCGATCAAATATTGGCCACCAGTGGCCAAGTAGTTCCATTCCCTGAACACGGGTAATTCAGTTGTGGGTGCGTGCCTCGCCAGCTCGTCTTGGCAAGAAACGCATCCACATTGGAGTCTTCCAGGTTTTCTCTACATCTTTAATGCCTAAATAGGGGCCAGTTACCATTAAAAAAATCAGCTGAAAGGCATCCCCCTAGGCAGATTGCCCAAGTGTTGTGTTGCTGTAACTAAACAAACAGAACCACATATTTCCAATTAATTAAAAATATTAATATTTAAATATTTTATCATCACAAAATAAATACATTTAGAAAACAGAAAACATTACTTTTCTTTAAATATTCTCACTTGGTAAGTATCACTCCCGATCAATACCATCTCTTGACATTTTGCTACAAATTCTATCTTGAAATTATTTCCCAAAGTTTTGTAATATATCTTCCAAACATCACAAGTTGTTAAACATCAGTACAGTTTAACAAATTAAAAAACAGAAAGAATACCAATATTATTTTATCTTTTTCCTAAATTAATTTAATTTATTCATCCCTGAATGATTAAATATTAAAATATTTTTTAAATATTTTCTTCCAAGTTTGTCTATTTTAAATTAAATTTAATCATTTATTGAAAATGACTTACAGAAAATATTAATGGAATGTAATTTATGTTTCGATGTTACATTCTTTTTTCACGAGTAACGAAATAATTTTTTTATCAAGACTAAATCAGTTAATGAACGAAAGTTTTATAGAAAAAAAAAAAATCAATAAGATCAATCTTGTTTCTTATATTAAAAACAAAAATTATAAATTTTCAAGTATAACAAGTTTTTAAAAAGGTAACAGTAATTGATAAATCAGAATGTAAATAGTAGTAATGAAAATTAATGTACATTATTATAATTGTGCAAAATACACTGTGATCAAAGCAACAGTCGATAAATTTTTAAAATTTGCATTAAAAAATTCTACTTTTAATCTCAATTTAAATATAAATTTTCAAAATTTGTAATGTAATGAAACATTCAAACATTTTTTAAGTGACTCTCAATGTATTAAATTATGAAATGTTATAAAACAAACTGAGATGTAACAATTTTTAGTACAGTAGAGCGTCGATTATCCGAATCAATTGGGGACTGGGGTTGTTCGGAAAATTGATTTTTCGGATAATTGATTATGTACAAAAAAATACATTATTAATATAGTATATTAGTATATCCCAATAATAGTATATTAATATTCCCATGTTTAAATTTTTCTCTGTTGTGTGTTGCTTCGCGTTGAATTTTTGTCTATGTTAAGCCTAACAAAAATTTTTATAATAATAATCGTGGCTATTGTATCGTTAAAAATTATTTCTTTATTTTGTACAAACAAAATAAATATATTGAAAAATATAAAAAACAAAAAAAATTACACTTTAGAAGTTAATCTAATATCAAAAATGTTTGATTCAGCACGACACAGTCCGACTGGAACGCTTTCGGTTAACCGACGTTTCAGTTGATCGGCATTCGAATAATCGACGCTTTACTGTACTTAAATCTGTTTTATTCTAAACAAAGTTTTTTTGGACAGATCTGATAGATGCAATTAAGAAATTGAACCTGTGGACAGTTTCTTCTTACAAATAGTTATTTCGAAGTTATTATTGTTAAGTAAAAAATACTATAACATTTGAATGCTACAGATGGTGACTAATCCTTTTATGATTGTCCTATGAATATCTCATTATTTTGTATTTGTAAAGAATCTTTACAAATACAAATTTTACTATGCATACCTAATTTCTATTATTTATACTAACATATTATTTATGATAAGAAACCTCATCCATTATTTCTTATGAATTCTTAACTCCTATACACAAACTCTGAACGGAAATATTACTAGAGAGACTAACTCATCATACATATATAGAAGTTAAATATAATCATCATGATAAAATCATATTTAATTTATGTTCATGTTTATTTCAATCAGTTTCATTATATCATATCATACATGATATGATATAATGAAACTGATTAAAAAACTAATTTTTAAATAGGTTGATGATATCAATTTAAGACCTATTAGAAAACTATATCTGGAATAAATTACTATGATAACTATATATTCTACAGTAATACCCCAAACTTACGCGATAGGTGGGACTGAGTGAGAACCGCATAAGTCAAATTCGCATAAGTTGGGGTATAATTTCGCAATTTGTGTAAATCCAAGTCGGATATATGTGTGAGGCCCCAGAAATAGCCCCCCAAAAAAGAAAGATATGTAAAAATTTGTTAAGAAGTTAAATTGTCAAGAAAACAAATTATATAAGTGTCAAATCGGTGATACCGGACTTTGACATCGGCGCTCATAAAGAATAACGGGAAAAACAAAATTTTAGATTTAGAAAAAGAAAATTTTAAATGTTAAAGTTAAGATGCAGTTTAGAAAGCAAAACGAAACTAAAAAAAAATATCAAAATGAGCATAGGTGTCATAGTCAACAATTAAACGCGATCAGCGTCTAAAAGATGGTGTTGGATAAACCATCTTCAGCCAACCTTTCCCGTGAACTATACAAAGCTCCATTTACACCTGGAGACAGGTGGAAGACCAATTAGAAAACGATGATGTAAAGTCTGTCCAATTAGCAAAAAGCCAATCTCGAAAAACTTATAAAATCATCAAGTCCAAGGACAATGCAGCTTCCACTAAGACTTCCACTAGACTTCTGTTGTGTTCATGTATCTCCATTTTTTTTTTTGGACTTCCGTTCATCTTTCGTGTACTGTCTCTCTAGACTTCGAACATTTTACTCAACACTGTCCAGGACCCCTACGACACTGGACCAGATCGCCACCGAAAACCCCTTCAACACAGGACCAGATTGCCATCAAAACTCCTATGACGCTGGACCAGACCGCCACCGAAAACCCCTACGATGCTGGACCAGATCGCCACCGAAAACTCTACAACGCAGGACCTGATCACAACCGAAATTCCTACAACACAGGACCAGATCGGATCTGAAGAAATCTTAAAGTTCGGAATCTCAGGACTTGTCCAACGAAAAAATTTATGTAAGCATTTTCGATCAAGAATAAACGGTTTGCCTCTGTAAAACACTTGTCTTTTGCTGCCTCTCAAAACCGCCACCCACATATGCTTAGACCCTAGACCATCCCGATGGTAAGGAATAAAATCTCCCCTCCAATCGGCATTCTTACATATGTAAGCTAATAAATGTTCTTGTTAATCTTATCTCGTCTTTTGATTCATTCACGGTTACAAGAAATCACCACATAGAGTCTCTCAAGCCTTTGTATATATAACAAAAACAGAAATAAATAACAAAAAATAAATTGTAGCTATGTGTCAATTTTGCACGACATATCCAAACATTTAAGTTGAACAATAGTGTGAGGGAAGTGAGTAATCAAGAGTTGCGTGGTGCTCAAACAAAAGGCAAATCGACGAGATTTGAAAATCACATAACTTCAGGTTCGCGTAAGTCGGGATAGCGTAAGTCAAGGTATTACTGTATTATCATTGTCATTATTATATTTACGTTACAAATTTAATTGTTTTCTTAGATTCAAATGTATTTTTTATATTAAAGAAATATTTTGCTTTAAAATTTTTTAAAAATTTAATTACTAAAATTCAAACAATTTTTTTGAATTGTTTCTGCTAAGTTAATTTTTATTTATTCTACAAGAAAAATAATATTTAGGGGGGAAAAAACTATATGATGATACTGTTTAACCATTTAGCATGTTATTTATATCATTTTCACTATTTTTAAAATTGCATTTATAGCTTTAAGTAAAAAATTAAAAATATAGAAAAAAGATATATAATAAATAATCTGTATCTTTAAATGTTAAATAATATAATCATTTTATATTATTAATACATAAAGCCAATTATTTTATTGATATTTTGCTTAAAAATTAAAATTTTTTCATTAAACAAATTTATTATATAAACGCATTATAAAATATTATTAGGTAATGCCAAATACTATAATTACTGAACAGTTTTATATTCATTTCTTTTTTTTTAACCCAATGGTTTAAACAAAACAGGAAGTTATTTATTATTAGTTTATTAAACTTCAAAATTATTTGATTTAAAATGTAAATAAACTGCATAAAATATGTTTATATAACATAAATGTTAATAAAATTAATATTACTAAAAAATATAAATAAATTGCTGTAATTGTCTTGAAGGATTAACTTTTGTCCAAATAATATTTATTTTGTGAATACTTTAATATTAAATTAAATAATTATAAAACATTTAAAATGATAAAAATGATCTATTTTGTATAATTAAAACCATTAGAAAAAAAACCCATTGAGTTAAATTTTCATAAAATTTAATTTTTATTTTATTATTAATAAATTTGCAAATGTATAATTTTAATACCCTCATAAATCCCACTTTCAAGTAAATTTCCACTTCTTTCCAATGCAATAAATTCTTCTGGAGTTAAAAATGTATAATCAACACCATTTACTTCTCCATCCCTCTGAGGTCTTGTTGTACCTTAAAATGATCAAATTTAATTTAAATTATTATTTTCATCTTTTGTTTTCAAGATGCTTTTTATACTTTTAACTTTTAAACAAACAAACATTTAAACCAAACAGTCATTTGTATATTGAACTATTTACTTTTATATTTAATAATATGATTTTGAATTTGTTACTCAATATTAAAAACAAATCAGATTATCTCCATTACCATACACTGTTTGTCCAATAAGTATCGGGACTGAAGTCATAAAAAGAAATTTATTGAAGATATATGTACAGTGAGTTAATAATCTTCAAAATATGACCCTCCTGCATCAATGCACTGCTGCCAGCACTTTTTCCAGTCTTCATACACCCCTAGAAATTGGCAACCACAAAGCTGTTCAGGCATCCTATTGAAGCCACTTGGATTGCCTCAATTGTCCCAAAACAATATTCTTTTGTGCTCCTTTAGATCCAAAGGAACAAAAAGAAGTCAGGGGAGCCACATCTGGACTGTAGGGTGGTGGGGCAGCATTGACATGTTATATTTGGCCAGTGCCTCCCTCACAATTAGCAATGTGTGACTGAGTGCATTGTCGTGATGGAGCATCCAGGTATCAGTGATCTCCCTTCGAAGGATTGTAGATTGTAGGCAGCAGACTCTAATCCTCAAACATTTGAGCACTTCTGCATAAAATTTACTATTCACTGTTTGTCCAGCAGACACAAACTCCTTGTGGACTATACCTTTTGCATCAAAGAAGAGAGCAAGCATCTATTTCACTCTTGATTTGCTCATGCAGGCCTTTTTTTGGCTGATGAGAGGTGCGTGTGCATCACTCAGTACTTTACCTTTTGGTCTCCGGATCGTACTCGAAGATCCAAGTTTCATCACTGGTTATCACTCTGTCCAAAAGATTTGAATTAATCTCCAAATGTTCCAACAGTTCACGACAAATCATCATACAGTGTTCCTTCTGCTTGTCTAACAAAACCTTCAACACAAACTTCACGCACACTTTCCACATCTGCAAATCATCAGTCACAATTGAATGCAAAGTGGATTTCACTAAATTTAACTCCTGTGCTATCAAACAAACATTTAACTGGCAATCAGAGTTCAATGGTTCTTGCACTTCGGCCACATTTTCATTGGTTCAGGTTGCTGTTGGGCATCCAGTGCATTGTTCAGGTTCAACATCTTCCCGGCCAGAATTTTTATGTCACTCAAAAACACATGTTCTGAACATGGCTTTGTCCTTGTAAGCCTCACAGATCATATCAAAAAAGTCTCCATAACAGATTTGTTCAATTTAACGCAAAATTTGATGGCAAAACACTTCTCAATGGTTCGCTGCATCTTGACTCTCAACATGAGCACTAAACACACTTTCACTTTGAGTACAATCTACACACTTCAAAGGCTCGCAGACAACTGAGCCTGGTCTTGTAGCTGATCCCACTGATCCCGCCAAAGAGACTGCTCTCCATCCTTCCCATTGGCAAGAAAAAATCAGTCCCAACACTTACTGGATAAACCCTGCATCTCAAATTTTACTTTTTCTAATGCTGCTGTACATATATACTAGTTTTTCTACAAATTTCTCTGTAAATAAAAGATATTATTTACAGAGAAATTTCAAATATATTAAGATAATGTCAACATGTTGGAAGAACTATGTGAAAGGATTGTAGAACATTAGATTCCTTCTAAATTTCTAAATAGTTTTCAAAAAGAATAACAATAAAAAAGATGGAAATTCTCACTAAAATTCCTAGATATGTTCTGTTTTTAGAAAGACATTAGAAATAGATCCCTACTCTCAATAATAGTTTTTCTGGCAATTGCAATAAAATTTTATTTATGGCTAATTTTATATGAATCATTAGGCAATCTTTATGTATAAGATTTGATTAAGTTGTTCAACAGAGAAATATAGTTTTTATATTATTGTTGACAGCATAACATTACTATTTATTGAAGCAATTAAAGTTTTGAAGTTTCACTAATATAAAAATATTTTACTTACATGGTACTGTACGAAGATATAGATTGTCTCTAATGGTATTTTGCAAATCATGATCAATAGATCCTTTTTGAAATCTTGTGTTCAAATATTGTCTTAAATCTTTTGTAAGACAACCTGAAATGGAAAGTCATCAAAAAGTATTAATAAATCATAAATAATGTATTGGCAATTATCATTGTTTTCGAAGACATAAGTGAATGAAGATGTTATGTATAATCATTCAAAACCCAATTGTTTTGCATGGATAAAAGTATAATGCCTCTATAAACCCAACTGAAGATTTCAGAAATTAAATGACTCTGTAATACTCCTTACAACATATATTTTGTGGATATATTTACCCTGAAATAATTACATTATAAAACTTGTTCATCAATTCATTAAAAACTTTGAATTTTTAACATAACACCTTGATCCAATCATGTCTTCCATTTGTTAATTTTCATTTGCAATATATCTTATTATTAAAATGTAGCCATCAAAATATTAAGTTCTTAGCTAAATCAAATACCAAAACTGGTACTTTCTTAATTATAAATTTATTTAACCATTTAATTCCTATCATTAACCACATTAAAACTGCACTTAATGATATTTCTGAAATTCTGACTGTTCACTGAGATAAGCTGTTAACTGCATTAAATGTTAGGAATACAAAAGTAGAAAGTATCCTGATAGTCGTGACATTTGAAGATAAAGAACAGCTCATCAGTTTTCTAAAATTAGAAAATGCTTTTGATCAAGAGCAAGCAAAAGCCATTGGGAATGCAATAACAGGTTGGAGTTTGGAAAATGTAAAAATTCTTTGTAGTGATACAATTGTCTCAAACACCAGCTGCTTAAATGGTGCATGCATCCTCATTGAACAAATATTGGACAGATGAGTTGTCATTCTCCTGTCATCATCATATCTATGAATTAGTCTTACGAAGTGCATTTGACAACAAAATATGTGTTACAAGTAGTTCTGACATACCTCTCTTCATACAATTAAGAGAAAGTTGGGAAAATGTTAATGCTAGTAATTTTCATAGTAGTAAAGATCACATGAATGAATTTTTCAATGATTTAGAACTTCAAGTACTATTAAACTTTTATAGAGCTGAAATGCAAAAAGAAATGCCAAGAAGTAATTACTATAAACTTATAGAGCTGTGTATACTATTTTTGGGAGGTGACATGGAAAAGAAACTAAATGTCTGTCCTCCTAGGGCTATGCATCAAGCTTGATGGATGGTAAGAGCAATTTATTCCCTAAAAATGTTTCTCCTAAGGTCAAAACAAACTATCCATCAGAGAAAAGGAAACTTGACATGATATTTCTGTTTGTTGTAACAGTTTATATTAAACCATAGCTTAAGTGCTGTACAGCTCTAAAAGATCTCGGCTTCTTGAAGTCCTTAAAATCATATAAAGTAATAGATACAACCATTTCTACAACAGCTTTAAAGAAGCATAGCCAACACTTGTGAAATTTATCCAAAGAACTACTTTATTGCTTGGTATTTCTTATTGATTTTTTACAGTTGCGTAATATCTCCATATCATATCAATCATTCCTTGTATTCAAGTTTTGTGCTCAAGTTGGCACGGGTTAATCTCATTCGATTGACATAAAACTTCATATTTGAGTAATTCTGTCCAAATACAAAAATTTACGGGGTGGGTGCAAACATTTTTACAAAAATATTTTTTTCATTAAATTAAGGGATACCCTAATGTATATATTACATTCTGTACATCAATACTTGATTAAGGTCTTTGGGGCCCTGGGATATTAAAGAATTTGAGGCCCATTTACCCATCTTCTGGAAATGTTGGAAAACAACCATTGCCTCATTGCCTACAGTTAAATAAAATTAACTGTAGGCAATGAGGCAATGGTTGTTTTCTAACTACAGTTAAATAAAAATAGCAAAGTTGTATTGAAAAATTAGCTGAAGTCTTTAGTAATAACAAAAAATATTGCTTTTGTAGCCTTAGAAAATGAAAATAAATAGGCAAATACCTATGTCAGCAATTTATAAATTACATTTTTGGTAGCTAAATAGAAAATTAAAATATCTAGATCTAGCTACAAAATAGCTAAATTAGCAACGTTGGTTAAAGCATGCAGATCAGTTCTAGTGATTCTAGCATTGTCATTGGGTGAATTAGTGGATAGACTCACTAGCATTAGCAAAGGTGCAAACTTCAAGTCTATATCAATATCAGCATATACACCCATCACGAAATACACTCTTTAAACTGTAAAGAATTATTATTATTATGTTAGTTTTTTATTATTATTTCTAGGCTTAATTTGCATTTTTAAGTTATCTCATATTTATATAGGTTATTGTTTTATCTTGACTTCAGTTTAAAAAAAATCAAATAAAGTCTGAGGTAGGATTTGGGGCCTCTTAAACAGTTGAAGCCCAGAGCTTCAACCCATTAAGCCCCACCTTTAATCTGGCACTGCTGCCCATACATAAACTTACTACTAGTTTTTGAAATTATGCAAAATGTTAAATTGAATTAATTATAAATATAAATGACATTGCAAGATAAATCATGTTTGAAAACTCTCGAAAAACGGTAAACAATTTGAAAAATGACAAATGAAACTCTAAAGACGTTTGATAACATTATGTCTAAGTTATTTGAAAATATTTATTTCCTTTGTAACTATTTAATTAAATGTTTTATTTTTTATCATCAGTAGATCTGGAATTCTTTTCATTAAATAATGTTCCACAATACTAAAATTCAAAATTATCAGAAAATAATTAATTAATTGTCCATTTGTTTCAATAACTCTTAAATCTATGACATTTACATATTAAAAAATACATGTTTTGTACTGGAAGAATATTATACCAGGAATCAGCTCGATGAGACCGATTCCTGTCCTGATATCAAATATCAAATGAAAATTACTAGGTTTCCAATGAGATTTTCTAGTTTTTAAAGTTTTTCACAATTTTTCTAACATTCGATCAATTTTCTAAAGTTATAAAGTTTAGTTTGACTTTGAAGTACTGTACATTTTAGTTTGAAGTTTTTTGACTATGCCAATAGGTTCAAACTCTTGTTCTACTTTCAAGACAATTTCTTCACAACTTTTTGGCAAAATTCATTATTGAAAATAATATAAAACACACAAAAATAGATGATTATTGGTGCAAACATACGTATCGGATAAACTAAGCTTAGAAACTTCACTATCTCATCTTAATTTGCATCCTTCCAATTTCATAGCCTGTATCTTTCACTCGTATGGATTATACCTATAAATCTAGTAAGAATTTCATTTTTTCAACAATTATTTGCAAAAAATGTCATCTGTTAGAAATGAATCATATGCTATAGAACAGCAGTCGGCAACCTTTCTGACCTCATGGACCACTAAACTCAATTTTGAATCCTGCGGACCACTATCATGAATTTTTTTAAACGATACAAAATCTGTAGAATAATGATCATAAAAGTTCAATTTTACTATATTAATATGAAACTCGCATGTTTAATTATAACAAATTAATGCAAGCCTAAAGTTTATTACTGCTTGTTTGAAATAACTTTATGGATTCTTAGCACTTTTCCACAAAGGACGACAATTGCACTCACAATATTGTTTATTGTTCATTATTTATTAATAACAGTCACTTCGAACTTGGTTTAATATTCGAATAAAAACCCCCAATGAGTGAAAATAAGCAACTAAGCATTTTGCATTTCTTTCATAATACTTTACGTAACCTTCAGTTGATCAATGTCCAAATTTCTCCACAAACCACCCAAATTTTCTCACGGATCATCAATGATCCACAGAATACCAATTGACAACCCCTGTTATAGAATGTTTGTTTAAATGTTCCACTCTTTGACAAACAGGCAAGTAAATAAAATAACAAATACATTGTCCTTATGTTTCTCCTAGCAGGATGGAGAAAAAGGTTAGTGTGTTTGTTATTTCAAACATTTCAAACTTTTTATCTGGAAGTTATAGAAATATGTTTAGTGAGCTATCATCAACATGCAATCTCCACTATAATAATGATGATAAAGTTCATAACATTGGAGTTGAGAGAAAAACATTGACATTTCCAGTTTTAGATTTATCATCATTTGATGAAAAATTGCTAGAATTACTGCTAATGTCTTCATTGGGAGTTGGTAAATAATCATAATTATAATCATTAATTTCAAAGTTTAATTCAGAGTTTTTGCTTAAAACATCAGAATATTCAGTGCTTTACTGAATGATGTCTTAAATACAACCAGACAATCCCAATTATTACAGCCCAACAATTTGGGAAAGTTAATAATTATAAACAAATTTATTTATGCCAAGAAAGAAGAAAAGTACAGAAATCACCTTTCTTCTGTCAAAAATAAAAGATGAAACTGAAAATAAGTTACTTGCAAACAATTGCTTAAGATAGTTACCATCTTAGGAAAGAAATCCTCTTTGTAATTTGAGCGTGGCAATCAATGTGTTAATTTAATATACATATTGTTCCTGCCCACACTAAAACAATCCAAAAAAAATTAAGCAACAATAATCCTATTATCAACATTTCAGAGAAAAACAAGAACATATCAATGCTATAAAATACAACCTTGAAAACTCCATAGTCACTAAACACGGTGTATTCCAGGCATGGTCAACATATGGCCCACGGGCCGGATGTGGCCCGTGTAATGGGTGAAAAATTCTAACACCTAAAAGAAAAAAAAAAAAAAAACGGGCCAACAACTCGCTGTCCGGTTAGAGTTAACCCTCTATTACAAATCTCTTAAGTACAGCGTAGTACGTTGATAAAGCATGATAATGTGAAAAATGTATCTGTAATCTCTATGTACAATACAATTTAGTCTCTACAGGGTGACACCACAATGAGATCTCGCACCACCTCAAAATCTTCCTAGGGCAGCCTCTGGTTCGGACTGTGAAAAAAGTTCTCTTTCCAATTTGGCCCGGGGGCAAAAACTGTTGGCCACCCCTGGTGTATTTCCATAAAATTCATGATAATGTAAGAATAAATGAAAACACAGGGATACAACTAGATCCCATATGGCACCCTTACTTAAACATCTGAAATCTATTAGCCAGAAGGTAATACTTATAT